GGGCGCTACCGGACTAGCTGGCCCTGGGGAAGAGATCCATGCTCCTGGGGCCAACCCATCCCCTCCCAGCACAGGCATGTTTAATCATCCACACTCAATTATTCTGCGCATTAAACGAGCTCTCCCCTCCCCCGGCCGCCCGCAGCTTCCCCCAGGCGCGGGTTAGAAAGAACAGGCCGGAGACGGTAGCTTTCGGGAGGTTCGACCCGTCCTCGTCAGCGAGTGGCGGGGGCAGCTCGTTTATTTCACATTCCATTCATAGCACCCCAAAAACAGTGGGTGTGAAACAGCGGTTTCAGCCTCGACAGGGAGAGGGAGGCCGGCCGCCTGGGGGAACTGAAAGCTAGGGGGGGAAATCTACACCCAGGGGCCAGGCCTGCTTCATTCCCCAGACCCTGCCTGGTTACCCATCACCCCGCTCAGTTCAGGCTACAGCTGACCAGCTCAAGATTGAAACAAATCAGGCCGGACCCTCGAGCTTGACCAGCCAGCCGAAGCACCTTCCCCTAAGGCTGCTGGGAAATTTAGGGGACCCCCCCCCCACCATTCTGTTAAATCAGCAGCATGGGGGCCTTGAGGGCTGGTCTATGCTGACAATTTACATGGCCACACCTACATCTCGCAGGGGACTGAAAAACCCACGCCCCCGGGAGCCAGAGTTGAGCCGGGGTCTCGACCTGTGGACGAATCCTGCCCCGGCCCGAGCTGCCGCCTCTCCGGGAAGTGGATTAACTCCCAGCGACTGGAGCGAGAGTCTATTCTGAAGAGCTCGAGCAGCGTTTTCAGCATAGACGGAGCCTGAGACTCCAGCCCCGCCCCAGCGTTCGAGGCCAGCCTCCCGCGGCTCCCCTGGGGCCTCGAAACCTGCTGCTAAATTAACAGGCGCAACAAAGCTGCCGCAGGAGCGGTGCCAGGCAAGGGGGGAGCGGTGCCACCCAAAACGGCAGGTCTGACTGACAAGGCTGGGGTGTGGTGGGGAGGCCAAATTCCAGAACCCACCCCAGCCCCGCTTTCCCCACCCCATGCAGTGGGTGGGTAAGAACCACCCTCTTTTGGTTTTAAATTTGCATGTAATCCTTCCATCCCAACCCCCACTCCTCCCCTTTTTACCTACTGCGCCATCAAATCTATCCCCTCTGCCATCTCCACCCCCAGAGTTTGATCGAGCCCCTGGTTAGCAGGCACAGACCCCGCGGCTGCTTAGGAACATTTATAAGTACAACCAAGAAAACAAACCAACCTCAAAATAAACTGCAAATGCTAGGACACTGCTCCTTTAAGATGGAATTGTGGCCACAAGGCAAGGCCTGGATCTAACCAATGGACGCTATTCACTTGAGGCGTAGCTAAGAATGTGGGCCTATCAAACGCTTGTCCCCACCCACTTTGGAACCCATGTTCCCACCCCCTTAAAGTCACAGCTACTCTGCAATATCATGGAACTTAGAAGTTATTTATGGCTTCAGGATTTACTTTAGAGGCAAATACTCTGTTCTCTTTGCAACTGCACGCTGGGGAAAGCGAAGCCCAAGCCAAGATTCGTATGCAACAGAATGGCTCAGAAAAATCAGGAGTTACTTCAAAGGGGCGTTAAGGTTTTTGGGGCATGAGACAGAAAAGGAAATAGGGACGCAGAAACGGGTATGATGATCTAGAAAAATCAGATAAGCCAGAATACACTAGAGCTGCAGGGATGTTTAGATCCAAGAGTAAATTGGGCATTTCAGGCGTTTAATTAAACACCATCTCGTTGGCATTAAAATAGCAGGGAGGAGGTGGGATGATGGTGGATTTTAATCTGATCTTTTGGGAGGTGGGTCAGAGCACATCTGCATTTCAAGGGGAGTGGAATCGGATTTTTAAATTACCAGGGTGAAGGGGGTAAAAGTTGCCCTGTTTCAAATAAATAGATTTTGATCTAATAAATCTGTATTTTTTAAATCCCACAAGGAGGAGAAAATCAAGGTTAAAGACACCCTGTTTTTTGGTTCCCTTAAAACTACAATCGAATTGGAAACAGGGCTTAAAACAAGTGGAGGAAGGGGTTGATCTGCAGGGGTAATTTAAAAAAGATTCTTTAAGGGCAGGCAGGGGTTTAATGGCTTTCCATCTCCCTCGGCACAGCCCAGGCGCCGACGTCTGAGGGCGAAACACCGCAACCCTGCTCTCGCTGGCAGCATTGCTTCAGCGCTGTCTTTTCACGGCAGCCCTGGCCCGGCTCAGCACGGACTGTTCGCAGGCAGCACCCACCCCTCGCCTTCCGCCGCGCGGCTGAGAGCCAGCGCAGAGTTTCGATGCACGCCTCGCAGGGAGGGCGGGACGATGCCAGAGCAGCTGGGTTCTTAAAAATAGGTTGGGCTCCCAGGAAGCCAGTTCTCAAACCTCCCTGATCGTCAAGCCGTACCCAAGAGATTAAAAGGGAGCTGGAGGGAACTGCTAGCGGAGGGCGGTTGGTTTAAACATGGCCTAGGCTAGGAGCAGGGGTCCGTGCTCTGCTCAGCACGGATCCAGACTAGCGACATGGTTTAGCCTCGTCTATGCAGGCAAAACCAACCCCAACACAACAGGCTGGGGAGCGGGGTGGGCCCGCTGTGATCTGTGAGGTCTGAAGGGGGATAGACAGGGTCTAACACTGGCTGTTGGCTGGACAGTGGCAGAAACTGGGGCTGGGGAAGGGACATTAAAGGAGACTGGGTGATGGATGGAAGTGGAGTACCTCAGCCTGTCCACAGGGGCTGGTCATCTCCACAACAAAGCAATCTGTCTGCACACAAGTTTTGGGCTGGGCTGGGCGAGGAGCCCACAGCCCCCCTCTACCAGCCCCAAATCCCTTCTCCCTGCCCCAGAGCGAGCACCGTGCAGGAGAGGGGCGCAGCTGAACTCACCCACGGCACGGGCGCTGGGGGGAGGAGGGCTGAGATGAGGGGCTGGTTCTGCTGCTCAATCCCCAGCTGTCCAGTTCCATGGGGAGGAGGGAAAAGAGCATTTCCTCGAGCCAGAAGGCCGGGCTGGTTCAATCTGGATGGGGGGCGGGTTGGGGGGGATTTGGGGTCTCTCCCACATACCCCTTAAATAGACAGGAATAGATATAGAGAGAATTTTTTTTATATATAAAATTTTTTTCTTCCTTTTTCCTTGCATCACTCGTCATCGAAGTTCTGACTCAGCAGGAAATTGGCAGCCAGGTTTTCATTCTTCTCACAAGCAAAGTAAGCCTGGATGACCAGGCTTTCCGGGAATCCTAAGGCCTTTAACTGAGGGGACACAAAGGGAGACGCGTCAAAGGACCCTGCCTCTCTGCCGCTCCGTATGTCCCAGCCGCCCTCAGGAACCGAGTCCCTCCGGAGCAGAGTGCCTGAGCCCACTTGGGACGCTTGAATGCAGGGGTGAAAGAGGGGCTGTAAACCCCTCAGGTTTGGGGGGCTGGAGGAGAATTCCCCCCCCAGTACAGGCACTGTGGAGGACGGCCATGCTGGCTTTGAGGACCCCCGCATGCAGGGGCAGAGGCACTGCACTGCACCCCAGCAGGCCTGTGACGTCGACAGGGCTGTTATCTTAAAACCAGCTCTCCCCCCGGCCCCCAGCCCGCCAGGTCCGTGCTAGCTCCTGGAGGCCTGACCACCTCACCCGCAGTCCCGCACCGGGAGCTGTAACCCGCCGCAGGGCAGGGGTGAAGTGGTGCCTGGCAGAGCAGAGCCGGAGCGGAGTTGTTCTGGAGCACGGAAGAGTGTGCTGGCTGCCAGGAGCTAAGACAGGGGATGTGGACCTGAGCCTGAACCTACAGGAAGAGGAAAGAATCCACGGGAACAAATGGCACTGCTAGATTCTCGCAGGGACGCAGCCAGGGAGACGACGCCAGGCTGGGGAAGGCACTTAAAGAACGGGAGGCTCAGGTGATCTTCAGTGGGATTCTACCCGGCCCTAGAAGAGGAGACTGAAGGCAATATAAGACGATGATCAATATGTGGCTCAGGCAGTGGTGCTACCACTGGGAGGCAGTCACGGGCAGAGGACTGTTCTCTGGGGACAGATGCCACCTGAGCAGGGAGGGCAACCGACGTCTGGGATGGAGGTTGGCACAATTGATTAGAACAGCTTTAAACTAGGGACTCAGGGCAGGCATAATCTCCACCCCTGACTAGCAGGAGGAAAGTCAAGTACAAGAGGATATGGCAAGGGAGAAAGGACGACAAGGTCCCACCGCCACTGACAGCAACAGTCGGGAAGGGGACACTTCAGTAGAATGACTGTCCCTAATCGGGTGAGGAACGTGGCTGAAGCTGAGCAGACAACGAAGACGTCTCTCCAGCGCCGCGAGGCGCCTGGGGAACAACATGGAGGGACAGGAAGCGAAAGCAGAGACGGGGAGGGACTGAAGGGAACGTGCCGCGCAGGGAAGAGGTGCAGCACTGGATGTTAATGACGAGGGAGAGCGGAGAGAAATGAGAAGTGACGGAATGGATAAAACGGAACCTATCTGGGTCACAACCACTTTGGGGAAGAACGCTCAGAAAGGCTCTGCTGGGATGGTGCTTGGGGTCTGCTATGGACCCTCAGGATCTGGAGAGACCTCTAATGAACTCAACACGCCTGGGAATTGCGATTACGGGAGCCTTTAATCTCCCAGACTGATTGGAGGACAAACGGTATCTCATAAATGGTAGGGCCCAGGTGTTCCTTGATGGGACAGCCGACAGATTTCCTCACCGTCACCGAACCATCAAGAGCCGATGGTGTTTTAGATTTCGCGTTGGTAAGCAGCGAAGGCCTCACAGAAGAGCAGGTTGGGTTGAGTGCTTGTGAGCTAATATTCACCGAAAATGGAAGGATAACTAAAGTAGGTCAGGTCTGAATCGAGAGTCCTGGCTTTCAAAAGGGCAACTTTAAAAAAGTGAAGGGAAGCAGTTTGGGAAGTGGACTGGCCTGGAGAACTCAAGGATCTGAATGCAGAGGAGGCTTGGAATTATTTTAAGCCAAAGGTGCAGAAATGGCTTGAAGCCAGCGGGGGAATCACAGGGAAGGGCTGCACCTCAAGCATCTCAACCAGGGGACAGAGAGCAGAAAACCTACAAGGAACGGAAGGTGGGATGGATCAGCGAAGAACACGACCTCTTGGAGGTCAGGAAGTGTAGGGGAGAACTGCCAAAAGCCAGGCAGAGCTGGAACTTGCCAAGGAAATTAAACCCACCAGGAAACGGTTCTTTAGCCATAGGGGAAAAAAAAAAAGAAAACAAGGAAAGAAGTGGAACGCTCTGCACTGCGGATGGGCAGGAGATTAAAGATAATCTAGGCCTGGCCCAACACCTAAGCGAAGGCTGTCTCTCAATTTTTCATAACGGTGATGAGTTTTTAACTGGGGACAGTGGCAGGGTGGTTGATGGGAACGAGGATACAGAGGTTGAAATGACCACATCCAAGGTGGACACCAAACTCAGTTGAATAGGAGCACGTCGGGGGGCCCGCATAATCTCCATCCAGGAATATTCAAGGAACTGGCACGTGAAATTGCAAGGCCAACGGGGGTCGTACCCTGCGACTGGGGAATTGCCAACACCATACTTGTATTTAAGGGGGTGGGGGATGACAAAGTGATCCAGGAAACTAAAGGCCCTTCAGTGTGACCTCAATTGCATGCGAAGTCTTAGAACAAATTTTGAGAGTAATTAAGGACAGGGGTAAATGGTAATTGGGAATAAAGACAACATGGATTTACAAAAGGTAGATCTTGACAGACCAACCTGATCTCTGTTTCTGAGAAGATCTCTGATTTGCTAGACAAAGGAAGTGCAGCAGGTCTAGCCAACCCGGATTTCAGTAAAGCATTTGATAGTTCCCACGTGAGAAATTAGTTCTACAGGATCAATAGGAGAATCAAAAGGCGGGTAAAGGAACTGGTTAAAGGGAAGACTACATCAGGTCATGCTGAAAGGTGAATGCAGGCTGGAGGGAGGTTACTAGAGGAGTCAGTCAGGGACCAATGTTATCGAACATTTTAACGTGATGCAGCTGTGAAAAAGGCGAATGCAGTCCTAGGATGCATCAGGCGAGGTATTCCCAGTAGAGACAGGGAAGCGTTAGTGCCATTATACAAGGCAGTGGTGCGACCTCATCTGGAACACTGGGTGCATTTCTGGGCTCCCATGTGTAAGAAAGACAAATTCAGATTAGAAATGGTGACTAGGATGATCCGAGGACTGGAGAACCGACTCGTTCAGCCTAACCACACGAAGGCTGAGGGGAGATCTGATCACTCTTGTACGTTGGCACAAGCCCAAATGGCTAGAAACTGGCCATCAGGAAGTTTAGGCTTGAAATTAGATGAAGGTTTCTAACCATCAGAGGAGGGAAGTTCTGGAACAATCTCCCAAGGGGAGGGCTCTGAGTTACCACAGAGAATTCTTTCCAGGTGTCTGGCTGGTGGGTCTCACCCACGTGCTCAGGGTCTAACCCATCACCAGGTTTGAGGTTGGGAAGGATTTTCCCCCAGGTCAAACCGGGCAGAGACCCTGGGGGTTTTTCCCTCTGCAGTGTGGCACCTGGGTCACTTGCAGGTTTGAACTAGAGCAAATGGTGGATTCTCTGTGACTTAAAGTCTTTACGGCAAGATTTGAGGCCTTCAGTAACTCAGCCAGCTGCTATGGGTGTGTTCCTGGAGGGGTTGGGTGAGGTTCTGTGGCCTGAGATGTGCAGGTCAGACTAGGTGATCAGGACAGACCCTTCTGGCCTTAAGGTCCATGAGTCTCTGGAGGTCGCCATGAACCCAGCAATGGCCCTTTCTGGATCTGACCAGGTGGGAAAGACTTGGAAGACTCCCCTGTTCACTCTGAAGACTAATGATGCCACTTTG